AAATCTCGATATACAAATCAGTTCAACTTCACTGATTTACCAAATTTTTTCCCAAATTTTTTTTCTTTTTTTTTAAGTATGTGTCCATAATTATGAACTATAATATACTAAAATAGTAAATAAATACTAGTTTTTTTCAAGACATCAAGTGATCATCATCTGTGTGAAAGAATCTATTGCTAATATTTATTATTTTAAGATATCACTAGTATGATAATAGGTATTTAAATTTTAAATGAGCAATTATAATTAGGAAATTAGTAAAATGTATTTGTCTGCAAATCTGTATGACCTCTATTTACCATTTAACAAGACAAATTCAGGTGCATTTATTGAATATACAGAAATAAAAATAATTCTATTGTTTTAATAGTGTTTATTTACACAATATTTTAAAAAATCTTAACTTACAGTATTTAAAAATAATCAGCTTTACTATGGACACATTTGCCCGAACATAACAATGTCATTGCGATATTAACAAAAATATTATTATTATTTATTACTAATAGAGTCTCAGTCACTAAATCAAACTTACAATATAATGTGGTTCTTACAACAGAAGATGTTATTAACTACACATAACATTGTTATCATCTTTTAATTATGATGTATATTTAAGAAATTATTACAATGTAAAACTATGTATAACACTTTTTAAACAATATTTAATATTCATTAAGTTTAACATTATTATTATTATTATTTATAGTCTAGAGGCACTAGAAAATCCGCATTTTGTATAAAAATAAAATATTGCCATTGTTCAAAATGATAACCACGTGCTTTTAACGTATTTTATATTATTATTGTTTTATCAAAAAATTTAAAAATTGAGCTACTCTCGCCCTATATTATAGTGTCAGACGCCTACACACGACGGAGGCAAACATAAGAACAATCGTCGAAAAAAAAATAATGACAATAGAAAAACAATTCTGGTGGGAAACATAATATTATAATGGTACTGTTCCTTTCGATGAACACAAAGAACAATATTGATTGAATCGGTGCGAATTCCGTTTTCGAGCTGTACCTCTAACACGAAGAGTCCGGACGGATTTTTCACTACCGAAAACAACCTAATGCGCTACGACAGACGTGTCCGAAGACTTTTAAGGATAAAAAATTACTAGGCGTAACGTAAACCTCGTCGTTTTTTGACAAACGCCGAAACGACGAAGACGACCCTGTGAACACGCGCGCGATTTACGTTCACGCACATAAATTAAATACTTTAAAAAAAAAAAAATAAACTGAGACAAAAATATGCTCGCAATCGTAATAATAATAATAATAAAACATTATGGGCACGGTTGGTAAATATATGTTTCTTCGTTATATGTATATAATAGGGAATAACTTAATACAGGCTAAGATAATAATATTAAATCGTATTCGCGTTACAACTTATTGGCGATGTCCTGCAAGCTGATGTACGTGCCCAGCACCAGGGCAAGGATGCCGATGATGATCAATATGATGTCCTTGATGAGTACATAATAGAAGCGGCCGAAGTTACGTTCGGGCCACAGGACACAGATCTCGATGAGCGCCGGGAAACCGATGCCCAACACGGACAGACACAGTGCGCCGAACAGCGATATGAACAGCTCCAACAGCGGAATGGCGACGGCCAGCAGGACTGCAGACATTCGTTTGTAAAAAAAAAAAAACGATATCAGGTAGGTATACGGTATATGCTATAGAGTTTGATTAACGATGATTTGTTTGATTCAAGAACACGACGTTGTCGTCTTAGCGTGTAGTTATATCAGAGTTTTATTTTTCAGCGAATATATAMACGTCTTATATAGTGGATATTTTGTAAAAGTGAATTTTAAATTACTTAAACTAAAATGGTTGGTTAAAAGTAAATGCATATTATTATGAAATTGAATTCGTTTAAAAAGAAATTATTATTATTAGACATACTAATACATTAAAACGTTATTCATTTTAATGTTGTTATTTTTTGAGGATAARATTCACCTCCTCCCACAATCTCAAATTGAACACCTCCACTGCCATTGTAATCAATAAATCACTATCTAGAGTAATGCATACAGGTAAATTGAAAAAAAACCAACAGAAGRATTGTAAATAATGTGAACATTTCCATGTTGTTGAAAGTATGACAAAAATAGAAATTCGATCACTCTAGAAACCCGTGTACTGATTGAGGCCAATGTACATCCGCCGTCTACCACAACATTATAACCTAACTAACGGGGTAAACAAACGTCTTTAGAGTCATAGCCAAAGCAATAAACATTTAAAAGAGGATATTATAAATTCAGCTTTTTTGTTTGACTCCATATTTTGCATCACATTAACTTATTGGATTAAAACTTGTATAGCTGATTTTTCGATGTACTACACGTATTTTATAGTCCTATTCAAATTATTATAAAGTTTTGAAGACAGCTAAGCTAGACATATCATGTTATACACTTGTAAACCATTTGCTTGTTGGCAATCGGTAAAAATAAAATATACACATTATTGACGACGACATTTGGCGTTACTTCAAAGTGAATGTTTGGCAAATAACAATACTGAATACATGCCGAAGGTATGAGTATTTTTCTGTGTCTAATCATTATGTTATACAATACTATACACTATTATTCTAAACTACGAAGTTATCGTAATAGTATATTATGATAATAACTACCATATTATTAAGATAACATATTGCAGTGCTCATCGATATACAACACTTGTCTGAAACTAAAATGTTATTGTTAACAATTAAAAAAATACATTTGGGTTGGACCGAAATTAGAGATAAATGTTTTAAAATTGTTTAGATAAACACGTACACATTTACTGCAATATTKTGTTGGAAAAAATTGTTTATAAAATGTGTAAAACATTTATGATGATTTAACTATAAACATAACACAATATACAAGTCTATTTTTTTCAGATTTATTAATTCATTTCACTTAAGATATTTACATTTTCTCAATGGTTTTGATTTATAGGCGATGACGGGTAGGTTCGAAATAAATCTTCTATGCCAAAAATTAATTTAAAATAATACTATAAATAGAAAACGTGATCTTAAAATAAACCGAGCTACCTATAGGTCTGTTATAAAATTGTAGACTGTATAACTACAAAACTACAAACGAAATATTATATATTATAGATTATATTTATATACATAGGTATCAATGGGTCTAGGACTTATGCTTTATTTATGATGATATGGAACGCTTTATGCTTTATATTAACAAGTAATTTATACGAGATATTATCAAACAGAGAATTTGAATACTTTATTTATCAAGTCAAGTATAAATTATAAAGTGAGTACTGAGTATACTCAAAAACAAAAAAACTGAGRGCTAAATGACTGAAAGTCACGAAATGAAGACCACGTAAAACACAAAACGAAGAAAAACAACCTAGACGCCTATAAACAACCATATAGAGAGGAGGTCGAGCTAAAGAAGATCTAAAAACCATTGAAATCTGAATGAAGGAGAGCTAGAATCTGGCAAGATACATCTTGGAAGCGAAAATATACCTACATTGCCTAAAATAAATGATAACTAACAATAATCATAAAAGTAATCATATTAAATAATTGGTTAATTGTAGTTACATATATGTTAGTGTTAGTCATTTTTGTTACGCCACATTATCTATAATATACTATTTAAACTAAATGCAGAAAAAGTCATATACAAAACTTGATGATAAATTCTAATGATCCATGTCATACGCATATTAGTAAAATCTTTGGGTAGTTGGGAATAGGGACTCCGTGAAATAGACTTATAAGCGACCTAGCTTTAGTATATCGCAACTTGCTGCAGTTAAACTGAATCTTTAAAATTGTTACATTTATATAATTATCTCCCCCCCCCTCCCATATACATCCAGAGAATAAAAATGGACTAAATCATAAAAACAGATTCAAAACAAGTGAACTGATATTTTGGACTTAGAGCCATTATTAAAAAATATAATATAGTTAGCCACGGTAACATAAGCCATTGGGGCAGTCGTTTCGTGCGTTATTATACTTACACGTAACGACCACGACGGAGATACGGAGCAGATATTCCATGGTCGTCTTGTCCCAGTTTTGAATCCTCTTCTTCATGTACGTATTCCAGATAATATCCACCGGTACGTAAGCTTGGAGCGCGTACGTGATGAATATGGCGAACGCGAAGATGAGTTTGACCACTTGGGAGAGGCTATAGAACAAACAAAAGTTTAAAATGACAATGTAATATCATCCAACGGACAGCGGTGCCCMGAAAAGAGGCTGCTATGACTTAATATTCAAATCTTTYCGAGTCGGTTCGAAAACCTCMTCCCCAACAGGAAATGTCTGGAATAAAATGAAGTGTATTTTTACAAGTGAAAATCGTAAAAAAAAAATAACCGGAATAGGCACGCGGACACCTGTTGCAGTAACTGTTTTTATTTCCTTTTATTAATTTCACTCCCCACTCCACAACCGACAACAACATTTGATTACAATAAGCACGCATATCTGTGTTGATTGCAAAAGAATAGATCAAATACGAWTTATTTGGTATGTAAGCCGAGTAACCTGAATATTATTCTGCYAATAAATACTTTTAGACTTCCTTAACCACAGTYCATAAGATATTTCAAATAAATAGYAGAGYTGTAGTAATTTATTCTTATTTATATATATTTTAAAATTTCAAATAATAATAAAGAAATTAATATTAGGCATATCATTTTTTCTTTAATCTCTATGTTCAACTTCTTGTAATCACTGTTATTTTTATTGGATGAAAAAATTTCAAAAAATCCAAGAGCAAAAAATGTTCGTCCACCTGAACGAAGTTAAAAAAAT